TAGCCAATCAGACCACGTGCTTGTGTGTCCGGGGCGGGAGATTCATGTGTTGGTTTTCATGGTCGAGTTTCAGACACGCCCGCCGGCAAGCTTCAAAGCACGCCGCCGTGTGGACGCTGCGTAAGATGTGAATCGTTGTTTGATTCAATAAAAGCTGAACGAAAAGTCTTCAGCCTTTATTTAAAAGGGAGAGTTGCAGCTTACCTCTAGTTTTATGGTAGTTCGATCCAGAGATATACCGACCATAATACTTCAATGTTTCTTCTCCATATTTAGTTTTAACTCGACGGGACCAAAAGCAGAAATCTCAAAGACTGTTATCTTGTAAATTGGGCAGATCGGTCTCCATCTGCTTGGCTTAACACTATCATTTTCAAAGTGAACTGGCCTTTTAGGGACTGTTTCTGAATTAATTCACATCGTTATTTCAGACGCGGCACATGCTGACAAGCCAGCAATTACATTTTAGCTGCTTCTCACTTGGTATTCAATCTTTAAACGTGGACATAAAGTCACAGTCAACTGTCTCTTATTGGCTCCCGCCGCTATAAATAGCTCATCATTGGCAGCTCTCTAAATCCAGCCCGGCTAATTAAGGCTGTTATTTCGTGTGGAGGGTGTTTGTCACGTTTTTGTGCCGGAGCAGAGCTGCAAAATCAGCACTTATTGATCGCAGATTTAAAGAATTGACTGAGGTGTGGGCCCAGCTCTATTGATCGTTGTATTGTTAGCCCACTCAGGGTCCTTTCTTTGGTTTTAGTTTGTTTTTGTACCTGCTTCTTCACAATAACAATGTCCCACGTTAAAATGAATACCCAGTCAGTGTCCCTATCGATTTGCTGGTTATTCCTGATGTAGAAATGAAGATGATCGGACTGACTCAGTAGCGTAATTCAAGGTAGGTGTTCATAGTAAATACTCCTTTCTTTACACATCTATAAACACTCAGCAGATGCCAGCGAAGTGTGTGCTTCATTAAAGCTAATAAGGAAGACATATTAATATTGAACTGATGGATGATATGCTTTGAACATAATGGGCATTGAAGCAGGTTCGATGTTTGTTCACTTTGAAGCACCGCAGGGAGATTTGTTTTAAACTCTGTTGGCAGTTATGAATTTGTTTTTAGCTTAGATATTGTTGCTGTGCATGGCAGCTTGACAGAATACTGATCTAAAAAGGACATTCTGCTCATTTTCAGGTTCTTATTCATATTTTTTGCGTCTACTGGAACATGTCTCCTTGCTTTAATGTTCAAAAAACTCTTTATTCTTCTCATACTGCCTGTGCTGCAGCACCTCTTTTCACCCTCTGTCTAAAACCAGAGCCCAGTCTGCTCTTATTGGTTAGCTGGATGGCTCTGTTGTGATTGGTCAACCGCTTAGAGATGTCCCGCCCCTTACCCTATCCCATATCATGTTTTGGAGCGCTAGCCAATAGAAGCATGAGTGTTACACAGTGACACTACCGGAGAGGGAAAACCCCAAAAGGCATAACAAGGCCTCCTATTGGCAGTTTGAATTATTAATTTAGCTTATATGTTGTTGCTGTGCGTAGTCACTCAGCAGAATAAAAACTATTATGTGTCGTGAATCAGTTCCTTCTAGTTTGAAGCTTCAGCGTTTGTTCTTAAAGCAGGGTGTCCGCGGGGTCTTAAAAAGTATTAAAAGTTGATAAATGAATTTAGCGAAAATGAAGGCTATTAAAAAGTATTAAAGGGCATTTTCCAAGGTATTACATTTTGTAGCTTGTTTTCAATCAGTATATGAATTGTCCAAAGAGGTTGTATTCTACAGTCTGCCTGAATGTAATCATTGCGTAGGTGTGTAGTGTGATTCTGTGGAGTTTATTTATGGCATCCCGTTGGGTTTGACGTCGTCTGAACAGGACATCGCACGCTCACTGCTTGATAGCGCGCGAAGGTCCGTTTACGCCGGTTGTTAAACAACATGGTTATGGGGAAATGCAAGTCTGCGTCCAAATGGTTGGAAGATAAGGAGGAAGGACAATCAATACTGTATATAGTAAATGTGAGGTGAAGTGTGTCGCCAAGGTAACCGGTTAAAACTCAAAGTGGCGATGAGGTTTTAAAATGTATGGAAAGGGTCTTAAAAAAGGTCTTAAAAGGTCTTACATCTGACTTCAGGATTCCTGCATATACCCTGTGTGATAGTTCTTATATCAAATGTTCCACCACTGTTCAGCATCATTTCAGCTCATCCTGTCATCTTTTACGTCTTTGATGCTTCTCCACATTGTCTCTCTTCTACATCCTCGTGTTAAGAGCAATGAGCCTGTGTTTGTTAACTGGTGCTCTGATTTATCGCCTCAGCTAAACGCCCCGGGGCTATAAATCAGTGCCTCCACTCAGCACGTTAATCACGTCCGCTGACAAAGACAACGAGACAATTAAAGAAACACGGGTAGGCCTTAAAAAATATGCTCCTTTAATTGGCACAGCAGTTTATTAGAGACTTGAGGCAAGCTTAAGTTAGGCCTCCATTAACCCTGAGATTTAAAATAAGAGGGGGGGGGGGGGCAGAATTTAATTTAGAAAAGGAATATTAGAATCAGGTTGATTGCAAAGTAGGTTTACACATACAATAAGAGTCATTAGGTTGTTAAAAAAGAGACAAAACCATTTTCAAAAACTATAAAAAAAAGTATAATTGATTAAAAAAATAAAAGCAATGTTTACAATAAATTAAAAAAGAACAATAAGTATATAACATTTTTTTTTTCAAATCGTCTGCAGTATATCAGAATTGTAAAACAAATGTATATCAATATAGACTTATTATTAATACCTATGGAGAAATTGCATTGAGTTTTTGTCGTAGGAACCCGGAAGGAGTTTACTTCCGGGTTTTAGGACGCGTCACTGTGGCACTCTATAACACCACGTCAATTAAATAAACAAAATAAGGCAATCTAATATGGATATTAATTTATTTTACCAAACCCTGTAAATCAAATCAAGTTATCCTTTAAAAAGTGTATAGCCCAATATCACAACATATATATTTGTCTCAGCTGGCTTTAGACCAGGGGGGTCAAACTCAATTTCATCACGGGCCACATTCGCATAAAGGTTGCACTCAAAGGGCCGGTTGTAACTATATAAATATATAATATATATATAAAATAATGTATTATATTACATTATTGCCTCTGATTTGGATTATTATCGGATAGGATAATAACTTAGTAATTAACTACGTCTGAAAGCAGAAGTCCAGGGCAAGTAATTGCAAGTCTCTTCAGTGTGCATGTCACAAAATGAGATGCATTGTGGGACATGTAGTTTATGGGCAACCTGCTTCTGTAAAGTAGCATGTAACCGTATAATAAACGTATTATATTCTTTGCAAGCTCTTGTGGGGCCACATAAAATGAAGTTGCGGGCCGGATTTGGCCCCCGGGCCTTGAGTTTGACACCCCTGAGTGTCTCCAGCTCAACAGCATAACCATAATTATATGATAAATATATTTTATTATGAACAAGAAAATAAAGCATTCAGGAGGACGTTAATGGTGATTATTTATTATAAAGGAAAGTCTTAAATGTCGAGATGGTGCCTCCTTGAAAAAAACCCTTAAGCAAAAGATATGGATAGTACATGTACATCAATTAATAGTTCAATGTAGAGGAGGGTCACTTTATTTTTAGACCGCATTAATACCAGAGCACCCTGGACACGTCTGTCCTCTGCTTCTGTTTTGACAGATCAGCTCCTTTTATCCGTCATTAAAAAAAGAAAAACCGCCTACTTGAGGGTTAAAATTAACTCTTTGAAAGCCCTGTATCATCTCTCCGGTCTTGATACATCACAAATTGTTCCTCTTATGATCTGCATGACAAAAGCCGGCCGGGCTGATGTTCAAATGGCCGCTGCAGCCGGGCTGATGAAAGCCTCGCCACCTTTTGATGTTATGACAAGTATTGATGAGTACCTCACATCGTGTCTTCTCTTGATCTCATGCATCCGCGCTCGTATGCGGCCGTGTATTTTTAGAAAGTAATCACAAGCTCATGCATAAAGTATAAACTCACATACACATAAACACGTCATTATGCACAGGTTATATGGGCACCCCATGCATGTATACGTGTATAATTTATGAAGTCCGCTTTGTCTAAAATGCTGCTGTGCGTCAGGTTGAGCCTGTGCAAAAAGAAAGTACTTTCTCATTGGGTTTCTTAAGAATATAAGGGTTTGAAGATTGTTTTCTAATTTCACATCTTCTCATTGTGATTGCTCAAAATGTGTGTGCACGAGGAGAGAATAAAACGTAAGCTTTCTGCTAGAAAAAGAGTAAAAGTGACATGATAAATGTTATGGCAATATCACCTTTGTTCAAACAGTTGCTCCAAACTAATGCTCTATAACAATGCATACACTATCAAAGCGTTGTGTTCTGTTTAACATATTATCTTATCTTAAATATCAGAGTCCAAATCATGTCATCAATGTGAATCACTCTTATAAAGCACAGCGCAAAGTGTCTGCGAGTTGTCCTGATCCATTTCTATAAAAACCTGTCTGAAAATGAGCTGATCAGATTTTGGCCACTTTATGATGTCATAACGATGTTGTGTCTTGTGTAACCATTAGCCAATCAGCAACCAAGGTAACCCCCCCCCCCCCCTTATCACCTGAATCTCCTCCTAGAGCACCATTGAGTTCTTTGTAACCAAATGTCTCTCAGAGGGGCGTGGGGAGGGGCTCCTTATTTTCATCTAAAGTAACAGACAGAATCAGCACTTTTGAAACAGGGCTGAAACAGAGGGGATTATGGGTAATGCTGCAATGATCTGTTTGGTGTTTCAGCCAATCAGAGACATGTTCTGTATATATCTGAGACCTATAATGTATTGATGGAAAACAGTGTAATAGGGGACCTTTAATATACTTGTATCCGTATTCTGCACAGCCTATAGTAACTGGACAGGTTTTGGTTTGTGCACTCATCTCTTGTGTTTCTGTTTCTGTCCTCAGCACCCGTCAGTGTCACCTCCTGCTCGACATCTTCAACCCGACGGAGCACGAGCTCACCGTCAGCGCCAAGAACAACCAGGACCTGGTTCTGCACGCCAGCGAGTGCCAGAGGTGAGGGGAAGGTTTCTCTTTCTGCACACAGAGGGATTAAAACATGGGGATGAGTCAGGGCAAAATCAGGTGGTTGGTTTTGCAAGAAAAGTTATTTTTCCTTTAAGATATTTTTCGAAGTTTTCCACAATTTTTTTTAAGGGTCAGGGGTTCCTCAGTATTACCGAAAGACCTTCTGATTCACCCAAAAACAAACTGATAAGAGGCTGAATTTGTGAGGCTGACTTCTTCTTAAATTGTTTCCTACTTTTTCAGAAAAACACAATCGGACAAGTTATTTTTCTACGAATTTATAATAATAATAAGCTTTGTTTATATAGCACTTTTCATACAGCACGTGCAGCTCAGAGTGCTGTTTGAAATGATGACACATCACAAGTAAAAAACAAACCACAAATTCCCCTCAGATCAGATGTTAAAAACTGTACAGACACATGGAGCATAGCAACAACATATAACATGTTAACAACATATAACATGTTAACAGGTTAAGAGGCACAAGGAGGTAACAGGTATGATAATAACACACACATTAAATTAATAATGATTCCTCTCGGAGAAGAAAACACACAACTAAGTGAATTGATGCAACAATATATAACCATATAAGATAAAGTAAATATATAAGTACAACAAAAACAATTATATAGCAAAAATATAATAGTAATAAAAACGTCTTAATTCTAAGAAAGGTTAATTGATTAAAATATTAAAAGATCAACGTAAAAGGAAATGTTGCTATTAAAACTGTTAAATAAATAATATTAGATAAAACCCTTTAAGACCTATATGATAAATACAATAATATAAATATTATTATATATTATAAGGGTCAGGGGTTCCTCACTATTCCCTAAAGAGCTTATGATTAACCCAAAACTAATTCAACTACCCTTTGTGACTGACATCTTCTTAGTTTCCCACTTTTTCATAAAAACACAATCTGGGGTAATTAGTTCAGGTGTTTTAAATATCAGTTTATTTATATGTTTAGTCCCAAATCAGTGTCTTCATAAAGTGTTTTCACTCGTATGAAAATAGAACGTACCTGCCCATGTTCTCAAACCTCTTCGCACTCTTGCTGAGGTTTGCCATCTCTCTAAAAAGAGTTGAATCATGATTCCTGTCAGCTGTGTATCCGCTGCACCTTCTCCACGAGATGATGGTGACTCATAGGCCATTCTCTGCAGGGGTGGGATGTTATTATATGATGGGAATTAGGGGGTGGAAAGGGATCTTTTTCATAGTTCAGCTCACTCCAAATCATATTTTCTGTGCAGAGTTTATGATAAGCTTCCCGGGGTTTTGTAACCACAACAAGTATCACTTCAGAACTCTTTAAAAAGTTGAGACAGTGTTTATTTTATCTCTTTATGTTAAAGGTCACCTATCATGCTATTTTTAGGCAATAGCATTCTCAGATATATAAAAATATATAAAAAACATGTCTATGAAGTGTTTTGCTCAAAATACCAAACAGATCATCCATTCTAGCCATGCCTCATATCCCTCTATTTCACTTCCTGTTGCTAAAGTGATGATTTGGGGTATAAAGCTTTAAAAAAATAAAGAATTGATAACAAATAAAAAAGGAGGGGGCTGAGCTCATGCGGGACCCGGCAGCTACTGTCTAAACCAGGGGTCGGCAACCCCTGGCACGCGTGCCAGCATTGGCACGCAGCACCGTAACCAGTGGCACACTAGGAATAAGTGGAATAAGTGTGCAAAATATTGAAATTGTATTTTCGGATCCTGAACGAGACTGCCGCCAGAGCGCGTCTCCCAGTTACCTGCAGAAGGAAGCCATGCACGCAGCGCAGCCCCGCTCTCTTTAACTCCAGGTGACTTTCTGCCGCTTTCCTCCGTGGTGCAGGGCTGATCGTTTCAGAGGAAAGCACTTCACAAATTACAGTACCCATAAGGAGCTTTACAAATGCCGCAGTTTTTGTGTGGCTGTGTCTTTAGTTGAAAGCCCAGTGGCGATCTGCTCATCTCTCATTGAAATAATATGCTACAAAGGTGCGGACTGGCCATCTGTGTGTTGAACTTTCCTGTCGGCTCCCAGACCGTAGTCGAGGAGGGCAGAAGCAACGAGCTTCAGGTTCAATAACCCACTTTAGCTTAAAGGGGACCTATCATGCAAAATGCACTTGTGTACGTCTTTTCTTCATGAATATGTGTCCCCGGTGTTCCAGGGAACTCACCAAGTGTCAGAAAACACAACCCTCTCTATTTTCCTCCATACCCAAATCTCTAAAAAAGGGGCTGCAACGGATCTGATAAAAACTGATCCAGATTTGAACACTGTCCTGACGTCAGGACGGTGGCGCTACGGCTATTGGGCCAACTCCACCAATCAGGAGGAGACAGCCACGGCCATTGCCGTTCGAAAGCGCTGGAGACGCTGTAGTACATATGCCAGGCCTGTAGGTGGTGCTGTTCTGCCCTTACAAACACAGAGCTAAAAAATGTCAAATTGAGCAAAATGAGGCATGGCTAAAATGCATGATCTGTTTGGTATTTTGAAAAAAAAAAAGTATAAATATGCCTTATATAGGTATGGTCCTACACTATATTATTCAAATATAGCATGATAGGTCCACTTTAAATGACTGGAGAGAGGCGAGCTCTTCTTGGGAGGCCGTTGCATTTATTTAGTTGTTCTTCTGTTTCACAAAATACATCACAGACCTCTGTTTTTCTGCTGCCTCGTTTCACTTCCAGAAACATACACACGCACACACTGCTTCCCCGCAGCGAGGCCCCCCCGCCCTCCTGTTGATAGTTCTCGATCGTTGGCACGCTGATAACAATTAATTTTTTTAATGGCACTTCATATCAAAAAGGTTGCCGACCCCTGGTCTAAACTAAATACTGCCGTGATGAAACGCCATATCATGGATTATCAAGGATTCTCTCTGAAACAGTATGGAGCTCAAAGGCTTTCTCTCTTGCCGGTTATACCACAAGGTGACTTCCTTTTTATTTCCTGCTTCTTCACACACATGCTCTCCAGTACAGGTTAGCTCTGAGTGTTAGCGATGCTAATGTAAACACCCACCATATTACGTCCAAAACAGTCGGGCATTGTTTCTGATAGCAACGTTTCTGATAGGGCCGTGGGTCCACATTTCAGATATTACGTCATATCGGACGCAAATCTGGATCAGCTCCGTTGTTCCCCCGTTTTTAGAGATTTGGGTACGGAGGAAAAGAGAGAGGGTTTTATTTTCTGACTCTGCGTGAGTTCCCTGACACACCGGGGACACATGTTGATGTAGAGAAGACATCACAAAGTGCATTTTGCATGATAGGTCCCCTTTAAAGGATTACAGTAGCTGTTGAATTTCTAAAGAATTAAACATACTGTGAAACATCACACAGGCATTTAGTAGAACTGACTTTATTGTCTTATTCACTTCAATGTTTTACTGTAGCAGATGCTAAAAGAAACGACAACACACCAAACTTTAAACACTTTTATATAAATATTTAACTTTTTCAAACCCACATTAACCTCTCTACATATCAGCATGAATACAATCTACTGACATCACTCATTTAAAACCAAAAATCAGTCCCTTTGAAGCCAGTTCGCATGTTACTCCTGTTCATTTCTTCTTCTCGATCAGTCATGAAGAACACCAGGAGACGCCAGGAGTTGAGTTTCCATTAAACAAAATGATGACTGGTATATTAATTGTGCGCCAATTGAATCAGAGCACACACGAGCCAAATTACCCTCCTTCGTTACCACGGTGACGGGCTGCGGACAAGCAATTTATTATTTAGAGGGGCCATTTTTTAAACAGTGCAGTACTCAGTCCACATTAAACACTGTGGGGCTACATTACATTACATCACTTTCTACAAACTTCACCGAGAACAGTGAGCAGTTTTAAAGAGAACATATTCAGCTGATGTTCAGGTGTATATCAGTATGTAGTGTCTCTACTTTAAAGAGTCCTCTCCTGCTGATGTTCAGGTGTATATCAGTATGTAGTGTCTCTACTTTAAAGAGTCCTCTCTTGCTGATGTTCAGGTGTATATCAGTATGTAGTGTCTCTACTTTAAAGAGTCCTCTCCTGCTGATGTTCAGGTGTATATCAGTATGTAGTGTCTCTACTTTAAAGAGTCCTCTCTTGCTGATGTTCAGGTGTATATCAGTATGTAGTGTCTCTACTTTAAAGAGTCCTCTCCTGCTGATGTTCAGGTGTATGTCAGTATGTAGTGTCTCTACTTTAAAGAGTCCTCTCCTGCTGATGTTCAGGTGTATATCAGTATGTAGTGTCTCTACTTTAAAGAGTCCTCTCCTGCTGATGTTCAGGTGTATATCAGTATGTAGTGTCTCTACTTTAAAGAGTCCTCTCCTGCTGATGTTCAGGTGTATATCAGTATGTAGTGTCTCTACTTTAAAGAGTCCTCTCCTGCTGATGATCAGGTGTATATCAGTATGTAGTGTCTCTACTTTAAAGAGTCCTCTCCTGCTGATGATCAGGTGTATATCAGTATGTAGTGTCTCTACTTTAAAGAGTCCTCTCCTGCTGATGTTCAGGTGTATGTTAGTATGTAGTGTCTCTACTTTAAAGAGTCCTCTCCTGCTGATGTTCAGGTGTATATCAGTATGTAGTGTCTCTACTTTAAAGAGTCCTCTCCTGCTGATGTTCAGGTGTATATCAGTATGTAGTGTCTCTACTTTAAAGAGTCCTCTCCTGCTGATGTTCAGGTGTATATCAGTATGTAGTGTCTCTACTTTAAAGAGTCCTCTCCTGCTGATGTTCAGGTGTATATCAGTATGTAGTGTCTCTACTTTAAAGAGTCCTCTCCTGCTGATGTTCAGGTGTATATCAGTATGTAGTGTCTCTACTTTAAAGAGTCCTCTCCTGCTGATGTTCAGGTGTATATCAGTATGTAGTGTCTCTACTTTAAAGAGTCCTCTCCTGCTGATGTTCAGGTGTATATCAGTATGTAGTGTCTCTACTTTAAAGAGTCCTCTCCTG